TTAATAAACCGCTCGCTTCTTTTTAACGTCGCTGCAGATGCGACCTTGCCCTTGCGGGCGTGTTTAGGCGCCATAAGCGCTTCCGAATCAGATGTTGAGATTTTATAGTTGTGGGTTGTGTTGTAAAACACACCTCATGCACTTAAAAAAGTGTGAGGTCTTTGGGGTTGCTCAGCACACAAAGCCGTAAGTGATACAAGATGATGTATTTTACGGTGGTGTGTAAGCGGTTACCCGGAGGTTCCCGCTTGTCCACGTGACTATATCTATCTAGTTTACATGTGACTCGGGGTTCGGGGCTATTGCCCTGACATATAATGACTGCATGTGTCAACACTAACAATTATATTGCACAACCTTTATGTGCAACTCATTCAGGCTTAACGTGAGAGTCGGATGTTTCCGATGCATCGCCACCTACATTTTGCCCCAGTCGGAGGAGCGAAGTGTTGCGGGCTAAGTTTCGGAGTAGGTGATCGGATATTTGTTTAACTCCATACCATGTGATCTTTTGTATTGAGTACAGAATGTGACTAGCATTGGAAGCAGTCGAGTACCAGTATGAGAACATTTATTTACATTGCGTAAAAAAGCTATTATTTTGCGTGTCCACAGAGCTCCTCCGACTGGGTACGAGTCTGGTACTTACCTGAAGTGGGAAGTTGAGAAGAAGGCTGCTTCTTCTGTTCCCACCCCAGGCGCTATTATATACATGTGGCTAGGGTCACATGGAGGAAGCCACATCATCTCTGCTGAAGGAGGGAACAAAGGAAGGTCAGTTGGGAGGTTCAAACGTGACCACCACCAAGCTGTTCCCTGGTTCTTTAGTTAGGATGGGGAAGTGTACTAGTATTATTTGTTGTAAATATAGTACCAATCCGAGTGTTTTGGCTAATTCAATTTTTATGGGTTAGTCTAAAGTTTCTGGGAATTGACTTACAGATAAACCGAGCCCTGCGGAGCTGTTCCTTTATTGAAATTTCTTAATTTGTCTAGGTGTAATTCTGTGTAGCGTTGTTTAATTTGGAATTTAACTTGAATTAAATCTTCTACTTGGTGAAGTTTCAAAGATTCTACTCAGTTAATGGATTTGGATTGTGTCTGGAGTGTCCCTTGAGTTTGTTTTATTTTTGTCTTATTTTATTGCTTGTTTTAACAGTAGCAAAATAACTGTTTTGTGTTTACACTTTGAAATCTGGAGTGTTAACCAGCTCTCCTGTTGAAATATCTACTTAGTATTTCTCTCCTTAATTGCTGCCTTTTACTACAGTGGCAATCTTAACTGTATATCACTTTTTCACACTGGAGTGACAACCAGAAATGCTTGAGAAAAATAATACTCTATTTTCTTACTTCTCTAAGGGGGGTGAAAAGTCGCAGAAAGGGTCTCCCTTTTATACTCCTTGGGTCACCTTCCTTTTTCATGCTCTACCTCATATTTACAGGATTTATTTACAGTGTATTTTTCTCAAACTGAATAAAAAATGAAATTTTCATGCTATAGTTCTACTATGCTTTGCTGTGCTGAACTGCAGCTCTACTGCGGTCAGACTGCACCTAGAATCCTTATTGTCCTTCCTCACCTAAGCTATTTTAATGGTTAATTAGAACTTGACTGCACTGCATTTGTTGCAGTTTTGTCAGGGCACGGACAGTTATCCGGCCGGCCCAGACCCCTATCCGGATAGGTTGAGTACCCGTAAGCCGATATCTGCGTGTGATTTGCCGTAGTTAGAACGCAGGCTGTATTCAATGCGCTATTTCCGCTATCGCGTCATCCCTCACCCGTTATCGCCCCCTTATCCGCATGATCTATTCTCCTATTTCATGTCGCTTCTCTATCGGCTACCATGTGTTCCCAATGTAGCCGCGCTCTTGTGAGTTGCGGAACTCATGTATATAAGGCCTTATTGCCAGCTGGGTTGGCCCCCCAGCTTTTACAACAACTAGTTTCCCGGGGAGATTCTTACGCGCGAACTGACGCGCGGACTCTGACAAGTTTCCTATTTCAAATTCCTCATATTTACCATTAAATTCGCTATGACTTGGTCATTCTGAATTCAAACTTCGCATTACTATGCGTATGGTTGTGCTGAGACCTTCAGCTGATTTATTCCATTTTTATTCAGTGACATTTAGTTAAAATGAGACTTGAAATGGTAAATGAGTGAATTATTCAGGTTTAAAACCAAAAGAAAAAGTTGCTAGTAGTCAAGAATTATTCAAACGAATGTATTATAGCTCTCCACTTCATTAGAATATCGTTCCCTAAAATTCCCGCCATGGTCCATCATAGTTTAGTGGATTTCGTGGATTTCGTTCATCTTCCTTGATTCCCCTTTGTATTATCACATCCTAATCCTCCATATGTGTTGTTCGTTGTTATAGTAGGTCGTCCTCGAAGATATCATATTTTTATGTATTTTATTTAGGGCTCTGGACCTCTTGAAGCTGTTTTCCTGCGCGTTTTCAGGTTTCTAACTTCATGTCCTTGTATCTCATTCATTTCTGGATGGTTTCTCACGTTCTTGGTATCATAAATTTTCATTTATTCCCACCTTTCCAATGGTACTGAAGTTGTGTTCTATTTCCTGGTATTCGTCGAGTTAGCAAAAGTTTGCGCGCGCATTCGGTAATCATGTGCGTCGTTCCCATAGTCGTTCGTATGCGGGCACTGTTTCTGTTTAATTGTTCAGGATTTATGGTATGCACGGGTGTTTATATCCTTCATATGGGCTTCTGTGATTTATTTCAGATTTTTCCCTCATGATCTAAGGTTGTTTTGCACTTTCCATGCTTTGTTTTGACCAGGCTCTTCCTTATTTGGACGGAAATTGGTCTTCGCTATCTGCCGAAGTGCGGATCTCGGTTCCGATGGCCGGTTCCCTTCGCATTGCCACCCTCACGTGTCATTAAACATGATGTGGATTTCTATATTCCTGTCATGGGTATAACTTCACAACAGCTGGACCGTTTGGGCTGAAAATTTGCATAACTATAATTCCCTATTTTTCATAATTTCCGTGTAAATTTCGTTGTATGTTTTAATTATGGATACTTTGTAAACATTGTCTTTTCCCTGAGCTCGGGCTTTTGATGTCACTATTCCCGTTATTGGATATCTCACTAATGCATGATCCTTTTATTATGAAAATTTGGGTGGATTAAGATTAGATCCCTTCCTTTCTAATGGGCCATCAAGCTCGTCTCGGTCGTTACTGGTTAGCCTTCGCGCTTGCTTTTAAAACGTTGTCCTCGTTTTGCAGGAGTTTTAGTAATATCTCCGTCATTTATGGACAGTTTTCCCTGTAATTACCTTCATTGGGTCCATTTGGGGGACATCTACATTTCCTATTATAAACACGACTTTGAATTTTGCATTTTCCTGAGGAATGCTTGTTCTGTGGTACTTCCATCCTTGGCTACGTGTGCAGACATGGGAAAGTAGTTTCCATGGAGGTTCTCTGATTGTTTCTATAGTCAAATCTTGGTCAATTGTCCTAATTCTTTCTTTAATATTTGGTATAAATTTCCCCGAGAATTCCGTCTTGTTGATGCTAAGCTTGAAGTATTTTTGCTAATTTTCTTTCTTTCAATTTATTGCATATAGTCATAATAATTCGTAAAAATTCGTTAAAATTCATTAAAATTCAGGTCCTTCTATTTTCTCATATCTACTTGTCGTATGGGGTTTTGTGATTTATCTGGCATATTTCCATAATGGGTTTCCATAGTGTGACCGTTATTTCTCCTACAAACAGGCACAGCGGGTCTATTGCAGTCCCTTGCAATCCCCTTTTTAATCACTTTGTTTCTCTTATCTTTCAATCAATATGTTTTCTTAAGATTGTTTATTAGATATTTGCATAAGGTTGCTTAGGTCTCATCTCAATCTTTTTGCGAAAGTGTTCCATATTCAGTCCTAGTGGTAGTACAAAGAATGTATTTGGAAGATAATTCAGGGTTGATTGGGCAGTAGTGTGATTGGGAGAGAGTGTATTTTCACGTCAAGGTATCTTATAGCTACCTCCAATATCTTTCCCTTCACTCAACTGGCCAGGTTTCGTCAGCAAACAACATGTCTTGGTCCGATCAGTACATTTCCATGGCTACTTGCAATTCCTTCATAGTTTCAGGATCGAACTCTCGGAGCTTCTCGTATACGAATGTTTGGAAAACGTGGTAAAATTCGAGAGGGCGTTCCTTGCGGGGTTGTTAGGTATGGGTCAGCAAATGGGGATGACTGGTGGGGACAAGGCTCCGGGGTTGGGCTTCGGCCTCAGCGACTCCAAGAGAGCGCTGTGCCCACCTACTGTCTCATTGCCCACATTTCGAAGTGGCTTGGGGCTGCCTTGTTAGGGGGACAAACCATGTCGATATTCAGACTAAAGTTATAATAATGTAATATACATATATATATAGTAAGAAACTGAATGAGTCAGGTGACAAAATGAAACAAAAGGAGACAGAATAAGGGCCGGCATCTGGGTCAGAATGCATGGTCATGACAGGGGTATAGTTAGATGTTCAAGGGATAGATGGAGAAAATGATGAAGTTGTCCCCATGCTTGATGTAGATTGTTGTCGATGTAATCTACCGTTCCATGGCCATTGCAGATAGTGGCTTCCAGCGTAATCCTCCCTATTACTAATTCTATGACTTCTTCCAGGTCTCGTACCAATGGCCTTGTCTCGTGCAACTTGAATAAAGTTCCCATCCTGTGCGGATTTTCTCGAAGCGCGATCTCAGCTTGAATTAGCGATGTGCATTCTTGAGTAGTTCTCCAAGTCTTGTCCAAGTCTCGTTCCAATTGTGTTAGATGTTTGTTGAGTAAGACGCTTATGAATTTGATGCCCTTGGGGTAACCTTGGTCATAGTCCATGTGCATCTTTTCTTTGAGTAATTTGGCGAATGCTGGGGATGCCATGGTTCCAACGCGGGGTACATAAGAAGATCGGGTAGGTCCCCAGGTGGGTTCTGGTGAATTATGGGGTACCGATGCCACTTGGTTGATGGGGGGGTCCGTCCAGTTATATGCATACTCTGCAATACTACTTTTGGGATACTGTAATTCCGCATCCTGTAAATCTTCTGAATCCATATCTACAGCGGCTATCTGGGTTATCTTAACTTCCTCTGTCTTTGTCTTCACGTGCTTACTATCGGATTGTTGGTGGGACTCTTCCAGAATTCCCCCCGTCCTTTCCAATAATACCCTGTCTGCTGTTTGTCGCTGGTTAAGGTTATTCCTCACCCTTTCAATCAGGTATTCAAGCTCGGAGTCCGACCCGTGGCTATCAGCACTAGTGGAGATTTCATCTGTTTCCGGGATTGTCACCTTTCCCAAGGTTGTGATTGCTCCTGCTGCTATGACGTGATTCGGAATCCAACCTTCCATCTGACCTCGCTTGACTAGGGAGACTGGCGATTTGGCGGTCTGGACAGTAGACATATTCAGATATAAGCTAGTTCAGATTATTCTGAGGGGGTGGGACTCTAGCTAAGTTGTCTTCGTCCTCCTCTGATTTTTATATATTTTTGCTTCTGTATACTCCATCCTCCATTGGTACTCTGGGGTTCTGAGCTTTCCCTTCGTGGATTGTGTCTTGTCCCCCCATCTTTCCAATGACCGCGAGGCAGTCCATCCGCAGCCTCATCTCTCCGTTCCACTTCCCTGTTCCTTTCTGCTTGACCTTTCTGATATCTGCTCTGCTTTGGTCTTCAATATCATAGCTCAACATCTCAATTCTCCTGACTGTTCCCTTAGACCAAATCCTCCTTCGGCTTTTTCCTTTGGGCGCACACTCCGATCTTAGATCGCCACTGTTACTGGGGTTTTCCGATTTTCCCATGACTCCTCCCCCTGCTGACTTCCTGGCTTGTCTCACTGGCAAGTCATCTTCGGGTTTTCCATTTATTTGGGATCTTGCGCCCTCTTTGATCGATTCCTTGTGTCTTACTCGTGTATCCCCTGATTACTACTCAATTGTTTCTGGGCCGATGAGACACTACTTGTCTCTACCTTATCCCTGGTTTTGTTTACTTTAACGCTAGAGTACATTGGGATCTGCACACAGAGTCCAGGAATTTATCGATCAGCTGTGTTCAAAGTCTCGGCTATCAGCATTTGCCATTCTGGGACAGCCATTTTCGGATCCATACCTTTTCCTGCCCCCGGAAAGGCAATAAAGGGGATGTTACTCCTCTTCCTCCTTCCGTTGGGTTAGTAGGGGTGAGAAAGGTTGCGGGATACGTAGAATTGCCTGCCCATTGGCTTCCTCCCTTGGTTCTTGAGTAGATACCGGTCCCCCAACGATTCCTGAGAGCTTGATTTCTCTCGATACTCCATATTCCTATGAACCGCCTCTGGTTCTTCTCCATCAGACGTTAATGGGCTCTCCGGTTCCCTTTCCTTGTCCTTATTGGGTGTAAATCCGTAGCGCCAGCCTGCTAAAGCTAGGATCAGGCTCAGGATTACTGCGATCGCCGTGTATAGAGTAGTCTTCATGCTTTGTGGACTAGTCTTGTTCGCTTTCAGGGGGTCTTTCTGATGCTGTGGAATTATCCTAAGTTATTTTATACCTTTCCTCCGAGTCAAAATACAATATTTATTATTACACCCATATATTTCTGGTGTGTATCTGACACGCTTCCCTCCAGTCCTGTCCGTTGGCTATGTAGTCGTCTATGTGGATCATAGCAAGTCCTTCGGATAGACCATGTACTGCCATCACATCCCGTACTACATACCGATATGTAAAAGCTGGGCATTCCACTACTGGCGGTCTGCCGGTTACTTGTTGTACCTGTTCGGGTGTTGGCAGGTCATTAACGATCGTTTCAGCCACTTCTTCAAGGGGGAACTCTTCACCCTGTCTGCTCCTCCGCTGATGTGATCGCCAGTTCTTCCAGCCTCTCCTTGCCCATGTGCAACAGCCGACCACACGCTTCCAGATTCTCGAAGTCCATCCCTTCTTCATTTTATTTTTCCTTTTTATAACTTGTTAGCTTTTTATGGTTATACTAAGCTTTTTCCCTGATAATTTACCATGTGCACTTTGACTTTTGTTCCACCACTGCGGGCGCTCTGTATTATATGTGCCTTGGTTGATCCCTGAATCCATTAATGTGGGTTAATTAACTGAAGAAACTTCGCTGGAGAAGCTTTCTTTCCTTTCCAAGATGTGAAACCAGTTAAGGTGCATGGGCGCAGGAAAATAGAGGCATCCTCTCGGTGATTCAGGACTTTTATACCTCATATATGACCCGGGCTGATGTTTCCATTCATGGTCCCTATAGTCCCATCATGGATCGTACCTCGCTGCTTCCCTTGCCTGTTCACTTAACAAGTCATTTCAGCAAATCCTTTCCCTCTTTTATCAATTGTTTTCTGATGGTCCATCTATCCCACACTGCATCCCAATATAATATTTCCTTATTTAACCGTGCCTGGCTTTCCTTGTAAGGTATTTCAAATGTTATTTCCACGAAATCGTCCCCATCAGGTTCGTAGATTCATCACCTTCTCCAGACTTTCTGGATTTTCGTCAGATAATCCTCCCGAGTCATCGTCTCCTGAGTCATCCCCATTCTTGCTCTCTTCTGATGGGGTCCCATCAGCCTCCTCCTCTCCTAACCACTGTTTCCTTTCCAAATTATGCCATTTCTCAATTGTTTTCCATTTTCCCTCTTGTTCAGGCTTCCGTTTGTGTATGATAGGCTCATTGTTCTCGCGAAAATAAAACATTTTTACCCGTTGCACTGCTATGGGCTTGGACAATACTGTTCCATCCAACTCCGCTAAGACATATGCCCCAGATGGTCAGTTTTCTACCACATAATATGGCCCGAACCATCTCAGCGCTCCTTTATTTCCTTGTTGATTATCTAGGAAATTCTTATATACTAATACCATAGTACCGGGTTTGATTGGATCTTTATATTGTGGTTTTCCATATTTGTCCCAAAATGCTTGCGCATTTTTCTGCCGTTGGGCTTCTAGATCCTTTGATGCCTGGTCTATATTGTCATCCCTTTCCTTCAATTGGGCCATTCTTAGTGCTAGTAGATCCGTTGTAGATTCTACTTTATGCCAGTCCAATGTATGCCATGTTCTTTTGGAGATGTCAAAGGGGAATAGAGGTGCTTGTTGTTAGAACTTGCGGATTCGGACAACTCCGGAGTGGAATCGGAGACTTAGCATGGAAGGACCTTGGCCTCAGCGACTCAGGTGGAGTGCTGTGCCATTGCTGGTTGTCCTGGGGGTCCCTAATTTCGGATCTAGCAGAGGGGAAGTCTCTTGGGGGAATTCAAGTCGATTTCGGACTGAGGTTACAAGTTACTAGGTACATTGTATATAAGGAGGGGTCCAGAATCAAAAGGAACAAGGGTAGGACAAAAGGAGACAAAGGGAGATGGAAAGAGGAACAACACCGAGGGTCAAGTGTTTGACTCAATGGTGTTTCCCAAAGGAGGAATGAAGGGCCAAGGCCCAAGGAGGAAGGGAGGATGGGAGTCGGGAATGGCTAGCTGACTGAATAGAAGGAAGCAGCAGCCCAAATAGGAATGAGGGAGAATAGCGGAATTGAAATGGACAATGCAATAGTTGCAAGGTCCGGAGTAAGTCCGGAAAGTCCGAACTCGGAAGTTAAACTCCGGAATATTGGCAAACGTAATTAAATGGAATGAGCTAACCAATACAATGGGTATAAGCAGAGGTGGGGTCAAAGTCCGAGGTCGGAGCTAAGACCGGAGGTTCTGGAGACAGAGACGCAAACGGGATTCCAGAGTGGAGGTCCGGAGTCGGGAGCATAGGTGTTGCATACTCGTCTGGAAGGTGTTGAGGTTGGGGTCGGACCCAGAATGTTCTGGAGTCGGACCGAAGGTGGTGTTGGAGCCGGAGGTGGGATATCCTCTTGGGAGTCAGCAAGGAGAAGGTGACGGAAGGGAAGTAGGGCTCCGGAAGTCAGGTTCGGAGTTCCGGGAGCCCGGAGCGGAGGTCGGGATTGTATGGATATGACACTTGTCCATATAGTAAATAATATGGTGAAAATCCTGTAGCTTTACACGTCCTTACTCTATCTGCCCACATAGCATAATAAAACCATTCAGACCATTTGTTTCTGTTTCCCTTGCAATTCTTCCAAATTGCGTCTAGCCAATACCTATGTCCTACCTCTAGCATTCCATTTTCCCTTGGGTTCTCCACGGAAGTGTGAATTACTGGAACATTATATTTCTTTACTAATGTTTGAACTGCATCCTTGAATTCCGATCCATTGTCTGTAGTTATTTGTGGAATACAGCCGAATCGGCACATTATGTCCTCGAAAATAAACCTTGCTATTCCGATTGAGCTTTTGTCATACAGCATTCGCACTTCAAGCCAACCCGACAAGTCGTCTCTGGCATCCACTATATAATTATACTTCCGGCTCTTTGGCATATGGACCATGTCCAATGCAAATTTCTTCAAAATTGTTTTTACATACGTCGGCCTTATTGGGATTTTGGGCCTGTAATTAGATCTAACCTGGCATTCATGGCATGTTTGACAATACCATTCCACAAATGTAAACATTCGTGGCCACCAGACTTTATCCGCTAAATTCTTATAGGTCGGGAGCTTTCCCCGATGTCCGGTCTCGTCATGCACTTGGTTGCATAGATCCCAGCGTTTGTCTAAGTCTTCTATTACCAAAAGTGGTGGTTGTACACTGTTTCTTTGCCAGAGTCTTGAATCTCCATAGTAGAATTTCTTGACCCACATCAGGACTCTCCTGCACTCCGTAGCTCCCTTTGGTAATTCCATAGTTGTCAGGTATTTCTTGATTGGATCAAAAAAATCTGCCTCTTTCTTTAAATCCACAGGCTGTTCCCTTAGTGATTTGGGTTGTTTTTCCAGTTTAATTTGACCTTCCATGTATCCTACCCATCCTAGCCAGTTAAGAGGTTCCACACCAGTATTGGAAATAACTGTAGGGTTTTTCCATCGTACTTCCACCGGTAGACATTCCTCTTCTCTGTCACGACCGACAAATCCCGGGGCTCCGTCAGCGGCGAACCAATGCCGATAGGCGAATCTGCCGACCCGAAACCCATCCTAACCAGCCCCCAACCCCAGTTCTGGCCCCCTGCCTTACTGCCTGAGACTTGGCCAAGAATCAGAACCTAGACCCTGCCGGTATTCCGACCTTACCTCCAGTTCCTGAGCCCTTGGCGCTCCCAGCATTCAGTCATGCCTGCCTTGTCTCCATCTGAACCACACTCATTGCTTCCCACTATGTGGTCACAGCCATGCCCCGCTTCCGTCCACTCCGCACCCTCTGCCCATCTCTGCACCTTCTGGCCACTTCTGGTTGCCCTTGACACCTCTGGTCAGGTCAACACTCCCACTCCCCTCTGTACCTCTGTTGGCCTTCATGCTGCCTTTGTGTGACAGTGCTGGCAGATCAACTTCTGTTCACGGACTTGTGTCGGCACCGCACCGACCCCGCTTATTTGCGGACTTGTATCGGCGCCGTGCGCTGACCTCCGCTTTTCCTCTGGCCATTTGTCACTTGGCAGCTTATCATTCATTCCTTGCCGAGTGCCATTTATTGTTTGCTTCCCTGCCAATATCAGCATTTGATCCCCTCTTTATTGGCACTAGGTTATTGATCTCATTCAGTTATTCATCAATAACCCTTGCCACTTATTGTTTAGTGATCTGTTCCTCCTTTCCAGTTCCCGGGCTCTTGTCCTTATTTAGTTTGACAATCCCCGCTTATCTCCGTGCCGGACTGACCGGCCTTTCTATATTCCCTCTTGCCTATTTATATACCTTGTAAATACTTTTGGGGACCTCAGTCTGAAATCAACTAGAGTACCCCCCCTGTCTGGTCTGAGTCTCTCCTTCTGCAAAGGGGGCTTCCCCCCTCTGAGTCCGTGCTCGCGGAGTCTGCGCTCCTCCTACAGGTCCACTCTGCCCACAAGTCTTGTTTGAAGTCCGCTGTAAGTGTCAGTTTGTAAATACGGGATCTCCCCCAAACATCAAGCTCAGGGCACAGCGCTCCACCTGAGTCGCTGAGGCCGTGATCCCACTCTGCTAACCTTGAACAGCGCTTCCGGATGCGCCGCATATTTCCGCCCGCATATCCGTGCGCACGCTCCAACAGACCTCTGCCACAATCTCCGACACCGACAATATCCCAGTCTCCGACAATAATCCGATCTCTGACATTCTCCTGAGTCCATCTTTGCAATATGTTGTATTATCCATTTCTGTTCATTCTCCCAATCTAATTCTTCCTCATCACTTGAATATTCCGGTTCCGAGTCCGCCTCATATTCCTCTTCTGAGTTTTCTAAATCCATGGCATAGTCTTCTTCCTCTGAAAATTCCCCATCCTCTTCTCCCGAAGCTAAATCCTGTTCTTCGTAGTAATACCATCCTGCATTAATATTCCTAGCATATTGAAATGCGTCATCTTGATCCATTTCCCCATCAGACTCCTCGGAATCCTCTTCTGAAGGTCTTCTTTGTGACAGTCCATCCGGACCTTTGTGCTGGGTTGCCGGAACATGTTCCATTTCAAAATTAAACAAGTGTAGATAGGATACCCATCTTGTCATGGGCGCATTTGGCAGGTCCGGGTTATTTACCATCTGGATTACTGACCTTGCATCCACCTTGATCTGAAAATGGTATCCCCACAGGTATCGCCTGTTTCTCAAAGGAGGAATGAAGGGCCAAGGCCCAAGGAGGAAGGAAGGAGGTTGGGAGTGGGGAATGGCTAGCTGACTGAATAGAAAGGAAGCAGCAGCCCAAATAGGAATGAGGGAGAATAGCGGAATTGAATAGGACAATGCAATAGTTGCAAGGTCCGACATAAGTCCGGAAAGTCTGAACTCGGAAGTTAAACTCCGGAATATTGGCAAACATAATTAAATGGAATGAGCTAACCAATACAATGGGTATAAGCGGAGGTGGGGTCAAAGTCCGAGGTCGGAGCTAAGACCGGAGGATCCGGAGACAGAGACGTGAATGGGATTCCGGAGCGGAGGTCCGGAGTTGGGAGCATAGGTTTTGTGTACTCGTCTGGAAGGTGTCGAGGTTGGGGTCGGACCCGGAATGTTCCGGAGTCGGACCAAAGGTGGTGTCCGAGCCGGAGGTGGGATAACCTCTTGGGAGTCAGCAAGGAGAAGGTGACGGAAGGGAAGTAGGGCTCCAGAAGTCAGGTTCGGAGTTCCAGGAGCCCGGAGCGGAGGTCGGGATTGTACGGATATGACAATGTCGCTATTCCCGTTATTGGATATCTCATTAATGCATGATCCTTTTATTATGAAAATTTGGGTGGATTAAGATTAGATCCCTTCCTTTCTAATGGGCTATCAAGCTCGTCTCGGTCGTTACTGGTTAGTCTTCGCGCTTGCTTTTTAAACGTTGTCCTCATTTTGCAGGAGTTTTAGTCATATCTCTGTCGTTTATGGGTAGTTTTCCCTGTAATTACTTTCATTGGGTCCGTTTGGGAGACATCTACATTTCCTATTATAAACACGACTTTGAATTTTGCATTAGTTCCTGAGGAATCCTTATTCCGTGGTACTTCCATCCTTGGCTACATGTGCAGATGTGGGAAAGTAGTTTCCATGGAGGTTCTCCAATTGTTTTTATAGTCAAATCTTGATCGATTGTCCTAATTCTTTGTTTAATATTTGCTATAAATTCCCCCAAGAATTCCGTCTTGTTGATGCTAAGCTTGAAGTATTTTTGCTAATTTTCTTTCTTTCAATTTATCACGTATAGTCATAATAATTTGTAAAAATTCGTAAAAATTCATTAAAATTCAGGTCCTTCTATTTTCTCATATCTGTTTGTTGTATGGGGTTTTGTGATTTATCTGGCATATTTCCATAATGGGTTTCCATAGTGTGACCATTATTTCTCCTACAGCAGAGATGACATGGCTTCCCCCATGTGACCCTGACCACCTGTATATAATAGCACCTGGGGTGGGAACAGAAGAAGTAGCCTTCTTCTCAATTTCCCACTTCAGACTAAGTGGTCAACACTCACCCCATGACAGGATTGCTGCTATGCACAGCCAATACTTGTCCCACTGAGTCCCTTGTGCCAGGACTTTGCCACTTTCGGAGCTGTCCCTGACAGTCCTCCACCAATTTCCACCATCACACTACACTCATCCATCTCTTCCTACCCATAGCATCCTTTCCCGACCTCTCCATTCGATTCCCTGGGTTCATAGGTTTCTCCTGATACTAAATTTGTCCCAAATGATTGAGATTTGACCAAGTGGCAGGCATGAGAATCGTAAAATTGGCCCATGCACAGGGTTAGACATTCTGGAAAGTGTTCACAAGAGTCCCTGTGTCAATTGGATCTTCATATGCATCCTTTGTGATTTTTCTGAATTTTTCTGAGCACTCTGGAGTGCATTTTGGTTGTTTGTTTACTTTGGTACAGCTTGTGATTTCCATTTTGGGCCAAAAACCAGTTTCGCAATCTCCCGAAGTATGGATCTTGGCTCTGCCACATGGGACTTTTGACACCACCACCCTCACATGCCTTTCAACATTGTGCAGAACCTCACGGTAAGATGAGAAATCACCACCACCATTGTTCCACAATGGCTGGGTCAATCTGGATGAAATTTGGGGAATCCATAGTTATGTTTTTGAGCCCTTGATCGTCTTTTGGTGGCCAGTAGTGCCAAGCATAGTTTTTGGGCTGGACCAATTCAGTACCAGCATGTTATGTGCAATTGTACTCCGTAATAAAATGAAATAAAATGTTCTTATGCACCATTGGCATTGGTAGGTGATCATCACATATGGGAAATCCTTAAGGAATGCAAAACCGCAAAACTACTGGTGGTGTAAGGTCTGTTAGGTGCAGGACTGGCAATGATGCCAACAACGGATTTCGGGCTCACCAAATATGCCACCTATGGCAATAAATGGGATGTAGAGCTGCACCCAAGGAATAGAGGATGGGTCTGTAGTGTAAGGTACAGTTATCCTGGTGTTGAGGACATCAATCAATGCACCTTACCTACAACGACGTTCACGGTTGTGAAACGGCCTCACCCGGCTTTGGGATTGAATTGGTTCTCACGGGGATAAAGGTTAATATTTAGTGCAGTCATTGGCACTCATCACTGCAGTGCTCCCTTGATTCTTACTCCTAGGCTGGGGACAGACTCCAATTAAGTACTTGAGGAAATTAACCGCGCTCGCCCCACTGATGTTGAATCAAAGTGCATCACTGTCTCGCTGTCTCGCTGGCCCCCTCCGCAACTGGCAGTACAATATACCTGTAGTTCAAATCGGACACGTACACAAAGGGACCGCGTAGTAGAGGCGCAGAATTAGGAGATCGAACAACTACGGCTAGAAAAGAAAAGGGGGAGAAAAAAAAAACGCAATTATGATCGAATTCCCAATGAGAATCGACCGGGCCCTTCCCCCCCACAGAGTTTTGCTTGCCTTCGGTCACTTTGCCCTCTCTCCTTCTCTAATCTTCTCCATATCATCCCTCACAATGGCCGCAACGTCGTTCATCACAGGGAAAGGCACAGTCTTATCTATAGGTTTCCAATCAACTGGAAGACGATTATGCTGCCAGAATGCCCTTGCCCATTCAAGCGATATCTTCCTCTGCAATTTTTTGTAGATGATTGGATATAAGAAGGGGGGGAAACAAAGAAAATGGTGACGAACCTCCTTGGGAACATCGCTCCCCCTCCCCAACGCAGGGATGACCAACCCAACCTCTCCCGTTGCCAAAATATGTCTAGGTTTACTAAGCTTATAGTTCAACTTGTTCTCTTGATTAACACGGTGACGAGCGAAATCCTCATGGGAGAGTCCCTCAGGGGAGGAAGCTTGAGATATAAGAGCATCGATGAGCTGAGCGTTTGGTTCCCAATTGTTGCCTGGCCAGTCCTCACGGCCTGTATGTATGTATGTGTGTGAATATGGCGGGGTGAAAGAGTCAATCAGTTATGTAAGTCATAACGACGAGTTACTTACTCAAACTGGCATCATGTTCGATCAAATACGATTTGTGAATCCTAAGTTGCTTCAAATCGAACCAGAATGGATTCCAAGCTTGAGTCAAACCAGTGAACCATCCGGATAAAGATAACAAGCCGGCCATGAAGAAGCTGAAATTGTAGATTTTTCGAATGGCGAGAGTTGCGCCGAGCCAGGTGATGTGACGACCATCTCGGTTGCTGATCGTTGTTCAGTCGTCATCGTCGTCGTCGTCGTCGTCGTCGTCGTCGTTGCGTATGGGGAAAAGTGTGTGTGGTGCGGGATGTCGTGTTAGACGATCCAACAACAACCAATTGAAGGGGGAGACATCACACTCACAGATAACCCTGTTGACCCACCCGAACGAAGCACGAGCAAACAAGCGAGCAAACAAACAAACAAACAAAGGAGAGGTGAAAATTTTGAACAAAAGATCAGTTATTATCATCCACCATGCGTGGTCATCAAAAAAAGAACGCCGACGACGACGACGACGAACGAAACGACCGGATTGAATAAAAGGTAAAAACACGTACGTGGTTAGCAAGCGCGTTCAAGAAAGGACAAGGACTCCTAAGGTCGTCTGGACCAGGATCACGATATTCGTGATTGTAAGGGTCTTTACCCCAGAAGGCATTGTAGATGCTAGAACCGCCCATCGACGTTGTGGTGAGGCAGTGGGGTTTGTTTTTGAGTTTGAGGTTCAACACAAGTGGCAAAGGCAGGGACGCTCAGGCTGGTGGTAATATTGACAGAGGCGGTCCTCTTGATAACTTGAATGGAACAGATATAGTATATGGGTGCTTACTTCATAATGATCTCATTGGTTCGAATTAATTTGCAATGTATATATATGCACGCAAGCGCACATCACTAATTTGCTGGCCGGTGGAACGTTGTACGGGGATTTTCGGGGTGTTTGTTGTATTGTCCGTGCAGGACTCGCTACTCCGGTTGGCACTATATTAGCGCAAGTGCATAGGGGGCTGACCGCTGTTCTATTATTAGTATTATTACGACAAAATACAAGCCTATGCGGTAACTTCGGAGAGCAAATGGCAAGTCCAGGGGTTTTCAATTTCGTAAATCGGTCATATGTATAATCAAACAGCATTTGCGGACGTGGCTTACCGTGGGATCGCATAAAGAACAATGGGCGGGCCATCAAAAAAAAATATTGGTGTGGAAATGAACGCCGACCGGGCCGGGGGAAGAACGAACGATAGACAAGTGCTATAGGGTTGCGCAGTAGATGTTCGCGGGTGGCTTGATGCCTGTGAATAACCCGCGTGTGCACACAAGTAGTACTTGGATCAAGTTGAATTTCATGAAATGTTCAACTGCGGTTCGACGCCACCCAATCACTTGCTTTTTTTGCGAAGGGGACGCACACTGCCGACGTTGAAATTGAATTACATACCTTTTGAAGCTTACATAATCATTCCATACTGTATGTAAAACGTGACTAAAAGGCTCTCCGCGCTTCGGGCCTTCAACCCGCGGAGAAGCAAAAACACAACATGAACCAAGGAGCCATGCATAGCAGTTGACTCAGAAATGATGGGCAATATGGTACGGGTACAATGGTCCTGCCAGTACCCCTCTGGTTGCTTCCTATACCTCACCACCCCGAGAAAACTCTCGATTCCAACAACTCGATCAGTCCGTGTCTCGACCAACTTGATGGAACTTGTACCTCTAGGCACCGTCATCTCCGCCTCCTGTCACCATTCCTAGGTTTGAATAACTACCATAGCTCTGAAATTAAAAGGTCGATTGGAAGGATTCCCGACATGACGCGCGGGAGGGGAACGTCCTCTCAACTGCCATTTATATTTATAGCTAGGGCATCGTCGTCGTCGCGCGTGCGCGTGCGCGTCACCACCCCCCGAGGGGACCGGTTAGCTAGTACGTAAATTCCTCCCTGCCGATCCCGCCGTTCTTACTGCTTCTTAGCTCCCCCCCTGGAAAGGGAACTAGGAAGTCGATGGTGTCCGACTTACATCTCATTCAATGGCTTATAAACTCAATCCGTATTACATCTCCTGGCTATGTGTAAACGTGGAAGCAACAAAGAGCAGCGCTTACAATTCGATTCTGTTCACTTCCCTTCCCCAAAGGTTAACTCGCGAGATCGACGAGCTGAATTGCACAACAACTTACGCACATCCACTTCTTACCGTAGCCCTATCACACTACTTGATACATGTTTTTGCTTTCGCCGATCTTGCTTGCTTGTCGAGTCCCTTTAATTTCTCCCCGCTCCCATTGGAGACCGGCCTACCTACTATTGGGTTACCAGATGTTAGCCGACTTAAACAACCTGGTGGCCCTGATACCATATGGCACCGGATGTCATGATGACGCGATGCTATATTCCGCCCCCACTTCACTTCGGTGCCGTATATACTATGCATAAGCGAAATGACTTTCCGCTTACGTTAAGTAATACGATACGGGCCTTTTGCTATGTCGGCTTTGATATTTGATAATCACAATCATATCCCCCCCGGATTCCTGGATCAATATTCAACTCATAGCACGTCCATGTGGCCCTACATGCATGCATACATACACAGAGCAGTCAGAATCATGTCTTCAACAACCGGCCCCTTTGCAGTCGAAATTCGTGCTATGTACACACTCGCAACTCATGGACGGGCGCGTGAGGGAGAGGTATGTATGTGAGGGAGAAGATAATACTTAAGGTTTTATCAATATCATGATCATTCGATCACAGAAGGTGTTTTATACAGAAACGGAAACACGGTACTGGCCACAACAGAGGAAAAAATGAAAACAACAACGATAACATGCAGGAACCGAACAAAAATAAAAGGGAAACGTTTTATCGAGCTTCCTCGGGCAGTGGAGGCCCGAGCGGGAAAGACGACTTTCGGCAACAGTGACATGTGATGGTGATCATATACAAGTGGGAAGCAGTAAATGAAAGACATACAACTCTGACAAAGACATGTGGGAGAGGCGGAAAAACATTTGTGAACGATATAGGTGAAGAAAGACGAGAGAATACAGGAAAAATGTACATCGCCTAGAGCGAGACCGCGGAAGGGAACCGAGACGTTAGTAAAGAAGTAGTGGAGTGCAAAAAAAACCCTACTCCTGAATTTAGAATAGCCCCCCCTTGGAACAGGGAAAGGTAATGAGACAGGGAAGAACGGTCATTGAAAGACCCCGAGACTCTTCAGGCATAAGCCAGCCCAGCCCAGGTGAGGATACCCCCAGCAACAGCACCAGCTAGAACACCCGCCGCAGAAGGGATCACAATTTCGATTCGCGCACGTTTAGCAGGTGAAGGGCCGTCAATGTCAGCGAATCGATCGAGTCGGACAACTGGAGGAGGTTGAGTGTTTAACGCCTCCTCCAAGATGACGCAGGGAGATATTGACACCACAGGTGGAGATGGGGTCCTCCTCCCCCAGACAGGAGATGCCTGTTCCTCGATGGCGTCTGCTTGGGCGCTCGCCTCGACGTGAATAGTAGCGGGTTGAGGTTCAACCTCAACCTCGGAACCGTCATCCCAATCTACCTCTTCGATGACGCGTTTGCGAGATTTCTACGTGACGAGGCATCGCGGAATGATGTTGAGGGAAAAGGATAGGAGTCTCGTAAGACCCATTTAAGGTCAGTCATAGCGCAGACATTACATACCTTGACAGGAGAACTCGTCGCGGAAGCCGCCATCAATTCCTTCTCATGAACGGCATTCAGATGGGTGTCGAGTTTGGTTTGATGTTCAGCCGCAATACGACGAATATCTATAACAAAAGGAACAGCTTATCATCAAGTCGATGGAGAATGGAGGCCTCAGCGCACCCAGAAGAATGCCGCTGATGTCCTCCAGCTTCATATCGACAGCGTCCGCCCGAAGATGTTCAAGCTCATGAAGAAGTTCGCTTCGCTCATCTTCCATTTCATGGATGACCATACGATTATCCCGGAAAGTGCATTCCAAGTCAGCTGCAACTTCTGCTAGCTTCTTCTCCAGATCTGCGATTCTCTGGGGAGTGCATGAGACATACGAAAACACACGTCGATCAAAAGAAACGACATACCTTCTCGGTGTGCGGCGTCGTGGAGGCCACTTCGACTTTGAGGCTCTCTTTCATATCACCAACCTTCCCAGAAACAAATGGCCCCTGGGGATAATGTTTTCAGAACTCAAGAGGATGACACAAATCTAAGTGAAAGAATACCTCGAGTTGCTGCGGATAAAAGTCATCTAACAGAGAATCCTCAGACTCTGAGCTCTCAGAATCACTGGCCTCAGAACCAGACATAATCATGTCCTCCTCGTGCTGAGATGGTGAAGGCGCAGGTGAAGGCTCGTGGGACAAATCGTAGTCGTAATGGAGAAGGTTACGGATGGAAGAAACAGGTTTGGAAAGGACGACTTGACGATCCACGTCCCCAGTGGAATAGCACGAAGAACTCAGAATAGGCGAGGGGCTCCCCGGGCTGCAAGGGTTACAAGGCGGGGCGCCCGATGGTTCTTCAGGGCCATCATTGCCAATAACATCCAAGAATCCGTCTGCGAAATGGGAGACGAACTGACTTGGGGTATGCTCGGCGCTGTCGTTATAAATGGAATCTACGTCCGACATTTCGTCGTCAAGGAGGCCGTAACGATTCGTATGAGGGGCGCCTTGACTATGTTGCGAAACGTTTAAGTAGTGAGTAAATAGGAGAGGCTGAGTCATTACCTGACGTCGTCGTATCCATTCGCAATCCCGGCTTCTTCGTCAGGGTAAACATCGTCGTAAACGAGCTTGATCGATACTTTTGCAGGGTGGTAGAGCTGAATGGTTAGAGGTTCCCCCAAAGTTAGCGGGGGGAAAGGAGTCGTCACCGTCACCGGACATACCTGGCCGTTCTTCTCGACTATCTTGCCAAAGGTAAATATTTCGCCGTCTTGCACGATACGAGGCTGCTTGATTCTCTCTGTAATTCCGGAAGAGCCAAGGCACCACGTTCCGTGGTGTGAATTTGAATCCGTCATATGTACCTGCGCGAAGCTCGGTCAATTCGGCGTGGACAAAGTGCATTTCAAAGCGCCCCGAGAGCTTACCAGTCCATCTCTCATCTCTATGATAGCGTGTTCTCGCGACATTACGGGGCAAGGAAGCGCATAGGTGTTTGGCGCCAGCTGCCGAGACCCACGATGCTGCGGTGCCCGACCGATGATTACAGTCTGTTGGTCTCGAATCCAGTATACTTTCTGGTTATATCCATAATCTCTTTTCTCTTCAGACACATCTCCAAGCGCAACGAGGCGTACACCCTTGATACCTGCGTGATCAGGGCGTGCGTACATGTGAGATGTGGGAAAGGTGTGGAGAGTGAATGATAAATCAGGCGCGGGTCTGTTCAAGGTTAGACCTAGCTCATCGTGACTGAGAACACTATGAGTGCCCGGAAGGAATGGTTTCGCATCCATCGTTGGTGGTGTCAGTGCTTGAGGCTGTCGAAACTCTATAACGAGTACTTGATTCAGAGACTGATTTGTTCACGTGTTGCCTATCGTGAATTCCGATCCAATTTAAAGCACAGCCATCAAAGGCAACCCAGCTCCAGGTGCTTCTCGATCCACAGATCGCCAAACGCTTGAAGGTGCATTTTCGGGGAGATTCTCTCTGGCTGTGAGCAGACTGTATGTGTGCAAACCCCCAAAGCCCAAAATTAAGTGGTAATGAATATGCAAGATGTCCATCAAAGGCACTGATTCTGGCCGGCGAATATGCCAAGTAATAGAACTCAAGGCAAATTCACTCGAAGAGTACAAGAAAGTGAGTATGATTACGTCGAGTGGGCATGGGCAGTGGGCACCGATGTTTAGGGGGAAGGAATGCTAAAGTCGTGACTACCAGATCCATGCTCATGTTTGGCCTTCAGTCCTCGCCACTCTTCAACGAGCCCATATCGTTGATTATTCCATACATTTCCTCCCAACGCCACCTTACCTTCCTAATGGTGAAAGGGAAGGGGTCGATGCAATTGCTGGTCTTCTGATTGCGACGTTTAAATACGTCGGAGACAACTTTGATGAAGATATGAAGATGGTGGCAGGGGATGCTGACACACGGCGGTGGTGGGGCATTACAGATAGGATGCAGAATAGCGTCATCGGTGGCGCGACTGGGAGCAGGGACGGACCATGGTGGTTCGATTGCGACGAAGTGTTCAGGTTTGAAGGGTGATCGTAGTGAGGTGAATGGTGCAGTGTCTTAGATAGAAGTGAAAGCGACGGAGAATGCATATCATGTACAACGACAGTGAGCAACGTGGTGACTTGTGAACGAGAAGTTGGTATTTCCTCGCCGTGTGTGAATCTCGCGATCACTGTTGTTGAGCAGCCATCTTCTGTTGCATGACAGCTAGTAAGATATTCAAGTTTTCTTGCTTCTTTTGGATCGTTTCCTCAAGGGTGTCGAGGTTCTTTCGCACAAAATCAATTTTGCTCCCATAGTGCTTAGTTGCATCGGCTCGTCTCTAGTAATCAGATTGGGCGTCAGTTGATCTTACGCGCCCCAACAATGCAAGGGACTTACCTTCTTCACATAATAGCCAGTTCCTACATCTACGATAACGTTTTCCGAATCTGCCAACTTCCCAGGCACGTAAAGGGAATTGGTGAGGGGAACCAATATGATGTTATCTGAACATGAAGATTAAATAAGAAGGCTAGCAAAAATTTCCCACATAGCTGTAAGTTTGGGTGGCCTACTTTTATTAGCAGGCTTTATTTCAGTGACGTTCTCGACACAAGCCTTGAATTTGGATTGTGCTTGCTTCAGTTGGCTGAACGAGTTTGTCAGATGTGCCAACTCCTATTTGGAAAAAGTCAAAAGTCAAGAGTCCCCGTTGGATTGATCACAAACATCATCTAGCTGCTTTTTAACCTCAGCTAACTGCGGTAGCTCGAGATCCTCAACACGGATAGACATCGAGAAGGCCTCACGTGTAGGTGGCTATCCAAGAACAAAATTTCCCATTCTTCCCACGAGTCTCTGCAAGGGCTGAAGCAGCCTCACTCCCCGCGTCGCAGAGCCATCTTTTGGGGCACTGGTGCTCAAGGGAGTGTCCTATTATTTCGTTCTCATAATGCTTGAAACGTGGTTTTCTCGATGCCCGTTTGTGTTCCGCCGCTCCTCAGTGCTCCCGCACCGAACAAATCTAGGATCCCGGATTCATGTGACCGGACGTCGTAATGCGTCTGCTGCAACTGCAGCGAAATCAAAGCGAAAACCGTCAACGGGTTCTGGAGAGACCTCAGCGACTCAGTTCCAATTGGCAGATGCTGACCTTGGTCGATTGATGCGTCAACGTAACATCGGTGTATCCGCTCATATTGACTCTGGAAAGACAACCCTTACAGAAAGAATTCTCTATTACACTGGACGGATACGAGAAATCCATGAGGTTAGTTGGATCATACCTCCTGGAAGCAAACTCGCTGTAATGGATGAAATTAGGTCAGGGGCAGGGACGAAGTTGGCGCTAAAATGGACAGTATGGAGCTAGAGAGGGAAAAGGGCATCACTATTCAGAGTGCTGCAACGTTTTGCGATTGGAATGCCACACACCCTATAACAGGGAGCAAGGAGAAGTACGTTATTAATATCATTGATACCCCTGGTTGGTGCCGAATTTCCGTTTGGATCTGTAATTCGTGGCTTGAATACCGTTGATAGGACACGTTGATTTCACCATCGAAGTTGAGCGGGCCCTACGGGTTCTAGATGGTGCGGTATTAGTCCTTTGCGCTGTTTCAGGAGTTCAGGTGTGATTCAGTCTCAGCAGCAGGCATGGGATCATGCTGAAGGATTGATATTAGAGCCAAACTATCACCGTTGATCGTCAGATGAGACGCTACAATGTTCCTCGTATATCGTTCATCAACAAAATGGATAGGTTCAACCCGGGTTGATTCACTCTTTTATTATCATCTAATGGGCTTTTTGGGTTAGGGCTGGTGCTAACCCTGATCGGGTCATTTCCCAATTACGCAACAAACTGAAAATTCCGGCTGCCGCTGTCCAAGTGCCCATAGGGGCTGAAGAGGAGTTCAAAGGGGTGGTAGATCTCATTCGCTGGAAAGCCATTTACAACGAAGGCGTCAAAGGGTATGTTGATCTCTACAGCACCGTTTCCACTTTTACATCTGAGACGTGGTTTATTGCAGAGTTGACGTCGTTGAGTCTAACGTTATACCTCCCAACGTAGTTGAGAAGGCAAAAGCCAAGCGGCAAGAACTTATCGAAGCGCTCGCTGACGTGGACGAGGAAATTGCGGATCTGTTTCTCGCAGAGGAAGAGATTACCTCGAATCATCTTGTGGATGCTATCCGTCGTAACACCATCGGACTAAAATTCTCTCCAGTTTTCCTCGGTTCAGCAATCAAGAACACTGGTGTCCAACCAATGCTTGACGGTGTCTGTTCTTACCTTCCGAACCCATCGGAGGCTGAGGTGACTGCACTGGACACGACCAAACCTAATCCGGACAGTCAGCCGGTACCATTGATTCCCACGGCCGACGCCTCTCTTGTCGGCCTCGCCTTCAAACTAGAAGAAGGTCGTTATGGACAGCTCACGTACATGCGAGTTTATCAAGGGACTTTAAGGAAGGGCGCGGTTATCTACAACGTCCGTTCGGGGAAGAAATTGAAGGTCCCTCGCTTGGTACGAATGCACAGTAATGACATGGAGGTGGGATCCATTTCATTTCTTTATGTGCATGTGTTCATATTCAACAGGATGTCAATGAAATCGGACCAGGAGAAATTTGTGCCATGTTCGGAGTTGAGTGTTCTTCTGGAGATACTTTCAGTGATGGGTCCAACTCATACTCCATGGTCAGTCACATACAATTATTCCTCAATAGTATATATCATTTCCCATCACGATCAGACGTCCATGTTTGTTCCAGACCCCGTCATTTCCCTTGCGATCAAGCCGGTCGGCCAGGAGACCCCCAACTTCTCGCGAGCTCTGAATCGCTTCCAGAAGGAAGATCCCACCTTCCGCGTGCACATTGATTCAGAAAGTCAAGAGGTGTGTATTCTTCACGTGTGGGCGCCATCTTTAGTTGTAATGCAAGCTTGCAGACGATCATATCTGGGATGGGGGAGCTTCATCTTGAAATTTATGTGGAGCGTATGATGCGAGAGTACAACGTTGCTTGCAGCACCGGAAAACCTCGAGTTGCTTTCCGTGAAGCAGTAACCACCAAAGCAGATTTTTCGTATACGCACAAAAAGCAAACTGGAGGTGCTGGCCAGTTTGGCCGTGTAGTTGGGTATATTGAACCCATGGAAAAGGATGAAGATAGTGGAAAAGACGTGGGCTTTGAGAACCTGGTTACGGGTGGTAACATCCCAACCGGGTACATACCAGCTTGTGAACAGGTGCCTAACGTCCCCCTCCAGGACTTCAACTTAGCACTAAATATGATATCGTGCAGGGTTTCTTAGATGCTCTGAAGAAAGGGACACTCTCTGGGCACCAAGTGTCAGGAGTTCGTTTTGTATTGATGGACGGTGCCGCTCATGCTGTTGATTCCTCCGAACTGGCCTTCCGACTAGCGGCATTCGGTGCATTCCGGGAAGCTTACAAGAAAGCGAACCCTGTTATCTTGGAACCAATCATGTCGGTCGAAGTGATCGCGCCCGTAGAGTTTCAAGGCGCTGTCATTGGTGGGATAAACCAGCGCCGTGGGACAATCATTGATACAGAGGTTAGGGACGATGAGTTCACCGTCACAGCAGACGTGGCGTTAAACGACATGTTTGGTTACTCGAGTCAGTTGCGTGGAATGACTCAGGGGAAAGGTCTGTGCCATTGCATGCTTCACATGTGGCTCTCTTTTGATACTTGCACATTTAGGCGAATTCTCTATGGAATACAAGGTATTGTTCGCCATCCAAGGCCAATATCAACCGCTGACGCACTTTCTCCTTAGACGCACCAGCCTGTTTTACCCAATGTACAAGCCGACATGCAAAAGGCATACCAAAGGTTCTTAGAAAAGAAGTAGAGTAATCCTCTCCTGTGGCCAGAGGTGATCGATTCGCAGCACGCTCCTTCGCTTGCATCTTCGATACGGTATAATTTAGATGTATAATCGTGTTCTCATCATTCTATTTCTTCCATGGGAAGTGCAACCCCATCTCCGTCGTGAGGAATGCTCGTTTCGTGGGGTGCTGCAAACAGTGAAAGGATTCTCATAGCAAGAGTATCCGGAGAGGTTCGAAGAAAAGGGACTTGAATCATTCAAGTCACAGTTGTAATTGTTGCGATCGGTGGATGTGTTAAAAGGGTTGGTATCAATCGGTGTGGGGCTGCCTCACTCCAGTGACGCAATGATGGGATTCACGCGATCATGATTGTGGGATCCAGAATTGGCATCGCGGCAAGTTGAAGTTGTACTCATCCTATTGCTAATGCACAACCAGTAGGCAGGTTACCAGCTAGACACAACCAGGACGATCGAGTTTGACATGCATATCCTCTTTCTTCCCAATATCTTGAGCATCAAAACTCCCTAACAGATAATGCCAACAACATGGCTCTTGGGCAAGTGCGGCGGATATTTGCTCCACTGCCACTGCATTATTGCCGCTCTACACTGGATCTGTCCCCCCGTCAACGATGTTGCTCAAGAAAAAGACCAACGCTCTTAGACAGGATGTTGATCGCCTTTTTGCAGCAGGAGGTGACATCGCCGTCCCGATTCTCAGAGCCATCAATGCTGCATCCGATGCATTCCCTCCTCTGAAAGCGCCGCACTCTTCATCCTCGATGAGGTCCTAGTAAATTCGAGAATCGATGCTCATCACTCGTAACACGCAGAAATTCAAGTCAGTTAAGAATGAATGGAAGGAGTCTGCTCAAAGCCTACTTTATGCTTCATTCCCGCTGATATCATGACCGTAGCTCTCCGTTGGTTTGGAGCCGGAAGGAAGTGAGAGAACACACGCACTTGAATGAAGGTACGTTTTTCCCTGAATAAAAAACAGACACGAACAAAAAGCCCCCAAACCCAGGGGACACCCCCTACTCCCAAACCCCCGGTAGTAAAATCTACCCAGCGCAAGCTACGGAGGGTTCCACCAAAAAAAAAAAAAAAAAAAAAAAAGCCCCCAAAGGAGGACAACATGAGAAACAATGATATTCTACTGTTGCTGGTGAACCAGACAGGCTCCGAGTCGCCGGGACTCGTCGCTGTTAGATATGAGCATTCTGACAACTCAACAGAGAGCACTGGGAGAGTACCAGCGTTCCTTAAGAGATCTATTTCGTTCCTGAAGGCCGGGTGGTTGTGTTGGCGAATTGAGTGATTTAGACCTTGACACCTTGTTGAGGAAATACTTGTCGTAACCATGTCCTTCGGTTCCAATTTTGTGACTTGGGCGAACGCAGACAGGTAAATTTGTTTCCTGACCCCTGGTGGAGTATGTCAGAGGCGGAGAGTGAAGCTATCAGGGCTGAGGTAAGTGGAAAGAGACGCGGCTGTGGGTGGAGTCAAGAAGAGGTTTTCTGCCCAGAGAAGCCCGAAGAAAAGGGACTCCAATGTGATCGATCCAAAGTCACAACGTCAGTGTATGTGTTGGTCGTCGGTGGGCGCCACCGGGACGGGCCCGGCCGAATGACATGTCTTGAGTAATTCATTGATGGGATTCACACGATCATGATTCTGGAATTCCAGAGCTGACAGTGCAGCTGCTTATCTCGCTTCAAGTTGTGCTCGTCCTGCACAACCAGGACGATCGAGTGTAGCACACTTCTTCCTAATGGCGGATCGCAATATCAAAACTCCCCATCGGATAAACTGGCGTTCACCTTCCATAAGGCGCGGTACCTCATGTCGACCATTATGGCTCTTGAGCAGTGCAGCATATATTTTATTCCCTTCCACCGCATTACCGCTCTGCACTGATCTGTCCCCCATCAACGATGTCGCTCAAGGAGAAGGCCAACGCTCTCAGACGGGATGTTGATCGCCTTCTTGCAGCAGGAGGTGATATGGCCATCCCAGTTCTCACAGCCATTAACGTCGCATCCGATGTATTCCCGCCCCTAAAAGGTCCCGCTAGCGCCCCCCGCTTCATCTTCAGTGAGGTCCAAGTAAGTAATGGGTTATGTTGAATCAGGAACCAAGGCTCATCACTCGTAACATCCAGAAATTCAAGTCAGATAAGGAGGGATGGAAGGAATTTGGGAAATATGTGGTTGATATTGTAGCGGATGTGCTAGCGGCGATCGAATCCTATGACACTTCAATGGAAGAGGCAAAACCTTGGCTAGAGAACGTCAAGAAGCTGGACAAGTGCGTACTATTGATTTTTGGTCGGTTGGCTATCCCATTTACGTGCTACTTCGCAGCGCACTAAAACAGATCATCGCCGAAATCGTGCCAATGCTCGCAAAAATGAAGAAACGTCACGCTGTTACCAACTACCTCTCACTGCTGAAGCATCCGGGAAGGATTGATGACTTCAAGAAAGTTCTGGATCAGGTGACTCTTTCTCGCATTGCTCTGCTATCCTGATTCCTGACTGTTCCGCATCATGTAGCTGAGAACTAACCTAACAACTGGTGCCAAACTAACAAACATAGCAAATAACCAAGAGAGTGACTCGGTTTTGAGTGGACTGCGATATCCGACCATCGCCCATCATGACCCAGATGAGGCGTGCCTGGAGGGAACCAGGACAGATCTTGTCAACGATATCATGACCTGGGTTCGCAACGTGGAGGACGGGGAGAAGCAGGTGATGCTGCTGACAGCTGTGGCCGGGGCTGGCAAGACTTCCGTTGCCCATTCAATCGCAGAGAAGTGTGAGAGCGAAGGGCTGCTGTTGTTGACGTTTTTCTTTAAGGCAGGCGAGCAGTCGCAGCCGGACCATTTTGTTTAGCAGCATGGCCCGATCTCTAGCAACGCGTGACCACTCATACCGCGCCTCTGTTATATCCATTCTCAAAGAAGATCCAGCCCTCATGACTGCGTCCTTCACCGTGCAATTCGAGAAGCTCGTGGCTAAGCCTCTCCGCCTGAGGGGATTGCCTGCAGGCGGTCCTCTGGTGGTAATTGTTGATGCTTTGGACGAGTGTGAGCCGCGAGACTTCGAACGCCTTGCCGAGATACTTCGGAAGGAAGTGCCAAAATTACCATCCACCATCAAGTTCTTTGTGACGTCGAGACAAACTCATCTCGTGGATCGTCTTCTTTCACCCAATTTTCCCATCGACCGACTTGGCATAGATATCTTGAATAATGCCAATAAACGAGACTGCTCTGTTTACATCCGCGCGCAGCTGCGTTGTCTAAAGGATGGTCATTCAGGTCGGGGAGATGAATTTGAGGAAGACTCATTGGTTCAAGACCTATCAGAAAAAGCCGGTGGCTTGTTCATTTGGATCAGCACTGTCTTCCGCTGTGTCAGACTGGCCAAGGAGCCGAGGAAAACGCTGAATAAGCTGCTCAACACAGGTGCCTTTCGATCAATGGATTCTCCTGAAGGAGTGATGGGTACGTTGTATACGGCCATTCTGGAAAAATGTGATTGGGAGGATGAAGATTTTGTGCATGACTACCCCATCGTTATGGGGGCGATTCTGATTGCCGAACAACCGCTGTCTATCGCGGCGTGGGATGCAATTCTGTCGCCGTTCTTAAACTCTTCCATCCATGACACGTTGGTTGAACTTGCTCCCCTCTTACTAGGGGTTCCCCATTCCGACACACCAATTCGCATCATTCATCAGTCGTTCCGTGACTTTCTCATGGGCCAAATCGGTCCCAAATCACTTGTGCATCATCATTACACGGTGGATACGAGAGAGGTGAATGCCAAGATAGCCCTGCGCTGTACCGAGATCTTGAATAAGGATCTTTGCTGTGTGGAGGGTTTGGGGCTGATCAAAGACCTTCCCGAAAAGGATGAATTGCCACGCATATCTCAAGAGATGCAGTTGGAACAACTCCGTTACTCATGTCGGTATATCGTGCACCACCTCAAAACTGTTCCGGAGCCACAAGAGGTGCTCAGTGGATCGGTTCTCACATTTATGAATCAACATGTAGCACGCTGGGTGGAGGTTTGTGTGAGAACAGAAGGGTACATCAGTGTATCTTCATTTCCCAAGTGGGCTAAGGTATGAAATATCAGTGTGGCTTATAAGGAATTCTTATTCAGGCTTGTTCACTTTCAGTTGAACATTGATCGGAATTCAAAGAAAGATATTCACAAGTTGATCCAAGTACTTGACAAAGTGAGACAAAATCTGGCATTCTTTTCAAGATTTCAGGAGGCACATGAGTTGACAAAGGATTCCGTAACCCTCTGCCGTTGCCTTGTGTTGGCAGACTCAGAGTCCTACATCCCATATTTGGCTTGATCACTCAATGGTCTTGATGTATCATTGAATGATTTGGGACATCCACTCCTGGTGATAAAGAAAGTGTGAACCTTTGGTGTGAGCTTGTTGCTATTGATCTGATGCTATACACTCCAGATTTGGCTCAATCACTCAGCACCCTTATGATATCATTGCATAATCTGGGACTTCATTCTGAGGCGCTGTCAGGGGATGGACCCTGGGTCCCCATGACCCCTCTCTACAGTCCACAGTCTGACCTGTAAACACAGCCCATCTCAGGGCATAACTACTGTGGGTAAGAAAGTGTCAGGGCAATAGCCCCAAACCCTGAGCCACATGTAATTAGATACATATAGTCATGTGGGTAAGCGGGAACCTCCGGGTAACTGCTTACATACTACTGTAAAATACACACTCTTGTATCACTTATGGCTCTGTGTGCTGAGCTACCCTGAGACCTCACACTTTTTTAAATGTATGAGGTGTGTTTTACAACACAACCCACAAAAACTCATCAATCTTAACATCTGACTTGGTAGCGCCAATGGTGCCTAAACACGCTGTAGGAGAAATAACGGTCACACTATGGAAACCCATTATGGAAATATGCCAGATAAATCACAAAACCTCATATGACAAGTAGATATAAGGAATAGAAGGATCTGAATTTTAATGAATTTTAACAAATTTTTACGAATTATTACGACTATATGCAATAAATTGAAAGAAAGAAAATCAGCAAAAATACTTCAAGCTTAGCATCAACAAGACGGAATTCTCGGGGGAATTTATAGCAAATATTAAACAAAGAATTAGGACAATCGACCAAGATTTGACTATAAAAACAATCAGAGAACTTCCACGGAAACTACTTTCCCACATCCGCACATGTAGCTGTCATATCCATCCCCAGCCATCGACTTCCGATCCCTCTGATCCCTCCGGTCTACCTCTGCTCCTTCTTCACTAACCTTGGAGCTCCCATATTCCGCAATCCCCTCGGTACCCCTCAATGGTCACCACCCCCTCCTTTCAATTTATTACCTACACCTCCCTAAGTACGGAGCCCCGAAGGCTTCTGGACAGCTCTGACGTCCGCTAGTGCACCCCCACCTCCGCTGGGCAATACACTTGCTTGCCCTGCAAAGCCCACCTTCGGGCCTGTCCCTCCTTTCTGTTTCTGGGTTATCGCCTGCCTTTCCGTTAACCCTGTAACCCGACTCGTCGGTAATATTCAATCAGCTAATGTCTGACCCCGTTAGTTCCGCTCCGCTCTGCCATTTGCGGACCCACCCTTGTTGTAACTATATATATACTCAACTTGTACATAGGTTACACCTCAGTAATAAAATTGACTAGTGTACCCCCTCCAGTTCTGGTTTCCAGTTTAGTAAGTTAGGGCACGGACATGTTACTTGGCACAGTGCTCCTGGCATAAGTCGCTGAGGCTGAAGCCCTCCGCCATGGAGACTGTCAGGGGACGACTCCCGGGTCCCCATGACCCTCCCCTATGGCCCACAGCCTCAGGTCTGGCCAGCCCTATCCAGGGCACAATCTACTGTGGGTAAGAAGATGAGAAGGAAGCTAACTTCTCATCTTCCCACAGTGGCCACAATATCAGCAAAACTTCCGGGGATACCCGGAAGTCACATGAAGGGGTAGAAACCGGGTCCGGAGCATGCGGCGCACGGAGCGTGCATGCATGTGGGAAGCGCAGCGGGTGGAAGCGGGTCCGGACACGGGTCCGGGTCCGGGCTAGTCAGGGTGTGTGCCCTGACAGAGACATCCCCTCATCTCAACCTGGTCTCTGACAGTAGCCAAGGATGGAAGTACCACGGAACAAGGATTCCTCAGAAACTAATGCAAATTCAAAGTCATGTTTATAATAGGAAATGTAGATGTCCCCCAAAGAAAGTAATTACAGGGAAAACTACCCATAAACGATGGAGAGATGACTGAAACTCCCACAAAACAAGGACAACGCTTAAAAAGCAAGTGTGAAGAATAACCAGTAACGACCGAGATGAGCTTGATAACCCATTAGAAAGGAAGGGATCTAATCTTAATCCACCCAAATTTTCATAATAAAAGAATCATGCATTAATGAGATATCCAATAACGGGAATAGCGACATCAAAAGTCCGAGCTCAGGGAAAAGACAATGATTACGTAGGATCCATAATTGAAACATACAACGAAATTTACACGGAAATTATGAAAAATAGGAAACTATAGTTATGCAAATTTTCAGCCCAAACGGTGCAGCCGTTGTAAAGTTATACCAATGACGGGAATATAGAAATCTGCATCATGTTTAATGACATGTGAGGGTGGCAATGCAAAGGGAACTGGCCATTGGAACTGAGATCTGCACTTCAGCAGATCGCGAAGACCAATTTCCGTCCAAATAAGGAAGAGCCTGGTCAAAACAAACCATGGAAAGTGCAAAACAACCTTAGATTATGAGGGAAAAATCTGAAATAAATCATGGAAGCCCATATGAAGGATACAAACACCCGTGCATACCATAAATCCCGAACAATTAAACAGAAACGGTGCCCACATACAAATGACTACGGGAACGACACATGTGATTACTGAATGTGCACGCGAACTTTTGCTAACTTGATGAATACCAGGCAATAGAACACAACTTCAGTACCATTGGAAAGGTGGGAATAAATAAAAATTTATGATACCAAGAACGTGAAAAACTATCTAGAAATGAATGAGATACAAGGACATGAAGTTAGAAACCTGAAAACGCGTGGGAAGACAGCTTCAAGAGGTCCAGAGCCCTAAATAAAATACATAAAAATATGAAACTTCGAGGACGACCTACTATAACAATGAACAATACATATGGAGGATCAGGATGTGATAATACAAAGGGAAATCAGGGAAGATGAACGAAATCCACGAAAACCACTAAACTACGATGGACCATGGCGGGAATTTTAGGGAACAATATTCTAATGAAGTGGAGAGCTATAATACATTTGTTTGAGTAATTCGTGACTACTAGCAACTTTTTCTTTTGGTTTTAAACCGAATAATTCACTCAATTACCATTTCAAGTCTCATTTTAACTAAAGGTTGCTGAATAAAAATGGAATAAATCAGCTGAAGGTCTCAGCGCAGCCATATGCATAGTAATACGAAGTTTGAATTCAGAATCACCGAGTCATAGCAAATTTAATGGTAAATATGAGGAATTTGAAATAGGAAACTGCGACAAATGCAGTGCAGTCAAGTTTTAATTAACCATTAAAATAGCTTAGGTGAGGAAGGACAATAAGGATTCTAGGTGCAGTCTGACCGCAGTAGAGCCGCAGTTTGGCACAGCAAAGTGCAGTAGAACTATAGTGTGAAAATTTCATTCTTTATTCAGTTTGAGAAAAATACACTGTAAATAAATCCTGTAAATACGAGGTAGAGCATGAAAGGTGACCCAAGGAGTATAAAAGGGAGACTCTTTCTGCAACTTTTCGCCCCCCTCAGAGAAGTAAGAAAATAGAGTATTATTTTTCTCAAGCATTTCTGGTTGTCACTCCAGTGCGAAAAAGTGATATACAGTTAAGATTGCCACTGTAGTAAAAGGCAGCAATTAAGGAGAGAAATATTAAGTAGATATTTCAACAGGAGAGCTGGTTAACACTCCAGATTTCAAAGTGTAAACACAAAACAGTTATTTTGCTACTATTAACTGAGTAGAATCTTTGAAACTTCACCAAGTAGAAGATTTAATTCAAGTTAAATTCCAGATTAAACAATGCTACACAGAATTACACCTAGACAAATTAAGAAATCTCAATAAAGGAACAGCTCCGCAGGGCTCGGTTTATCTGTAAGTCAATTCCCAGAAACTTTAAGATTAACCCATGAAAATAGAATTAGCCAAAACACTTGGATTGGTACTATAATTACAATAAATACTACTAGTACACTTCCCCATCCTAACTAAAGAACCAGGGAACAGCTTGGTGGGTGGTCTCATTTGAACCTCCCAACTGACCTTCCTTTGTTCTCTCCTTCAATGCCCACAAGGGCAAGGTTGCATCTGCAGCGATGCTAAAAAGAAACAAGCGGTTCATTAAGAAACCGCAATCTCCCATCATGGGAGATTCAAATCAACAGCTGTCATCAGACGATGACGAGGATCAACACAATCCAGCAATAGTAACCACCTCAGGGCTGGCCCCTGAAGGTTTTAGAAACTTATGTGGAGTAAGTGCAGGGCCTAATACCCCTAGAACTCCACAATATACTGATCTAACCCAAGCTGGGGAAGATCCTTCACCTCCTCACAAGGTGATTGACTTGTGCAATAAATGCATAAGCACCGAATGATCAGCCCAAAAAGCTGATTGGATAGAGTCACAGGAAACTCCAGGGCCCAACTATCGGCTGGAGTCCTCCCTCATGTCCCCAAGTCAAGCCCCAAAGGCAGACAAAGGGAAACAAAGGGAAGAGCCCCCGCATTGGCTATCCGAAAAACTACTGGACTTGTTCCAGGTTCTGTCCAAATGGAGGATGGAAAGCCAAGACCAACTTCTTCTCAGGCTGGAAGCCCGAGAAGGTGCAAAAAAATGCCCTGAGCACAGGATCTCCCAAAGCACGGAAGCTCCAAAAGAACTTCCGCTGTTTACACTACCCCACGCCATGCCAGACAAGGCAAGGTCGCCAACCTTGGAGGAGGTCTCTGAGATAATGAAGAGGAGGTGAACTGAAATGAGGGAGTTCACTGAGGAAGCCTTACGGAAAAGTAAGGAAAAACCAGCGAACAGACCCCTCTATGAAAGGGAAGCACCCTCCACAATGGCCTCACCTAAACAAAGCGAGCGTGGAGTGTTCACTCCAAGAACCCCTTCTGGAACCCCCAGAAGCAGCAATGTCAACTGGGGAGAGTCACTGCTCACCCAACCAAACTTCCTCCTGGAAAACCAGGAATTGTGCATAATAAACTCGATCCAAAAAAAGATCGAGGAAACGAACCACAATAGTACAGCTCATCTAGAGATAACTCTAGAAAGAATGGCCAACGCAATCAATGCGTTGACTGAAAAAATCAGCGAGCAGACAGACTTGCTGAAGGAGATAAACTTCTCACAAAAAAGTGAGGAAACAAAAAAACACCCCTGGACCATGGGCCAGGACATAAATAGAACTCGTGAAAAATTTACGAAAAGAACCACCAGTGAAAGCACACTGGAGTATCATCAGCGACTCAACAGAGACGCTAAGGAGATCCTTCTCCCAAGGATAGGAGAAGACGATGCCGAAAGAAGGCATCATTCAGAAATTAGGAGGAGAATCAGCATGTACCAAAGGTTTGTGTCAAAAACCCGTTGGTTATGGAAGAGGGGGTAAATGCGTGAGTCCAAATGCAGGCGGGGCTCAACTAGAGGGGGGTCCGAGGGCTCCGGTAATGAACCGAAGCTTCT